CGTAATGGTCGTTCTCCTACCTAGTAGTGTACGCATCCGTACCATCGTGAAGGAATAGGAGTATCCCTCAATGCATGAGCACACATTAATGCAGGATGTCCTAATATTTTTCCATTTTCATTATCTTTTAATACAACCCTGCTGGCGTTTCGTACATCTCATATCATTTTTAATATCATTTCTCACATCATTTATCATATCTTTCATGCATATGTCGGAGTTGTATTTCATGTTAGTTCGTAGTTTTGCATGTCAATCATAGCATTAAAATTACATAAATATGTCATATCATAACGTTTCATGCTTTCAGACATAACAACTTTCATCATATAAATATCAACCATAATATATCGCATCACAATATATGATATTATAAACATGTCAATTTATTAAATATCTCGTATCATAACATATTTCATATCATTTTCATATCATATCACAACATATATATATATATTCGTCATTCACATGTCATATCATAATCATATCATTTCGTAAACACTTCGTAGTCATATCGTTTCCATATACATATCCTAGCCATATCGTTTCCTAAACTTGTCATAGTCTTATCATCCTTCTACATCTCAGAGTTGTATCATTTCATGAATATACCTTAGTCATATCGTTTCCCAACATATTCTAATCATATTGTTTTATGAACGTATCCTAGTCTTATCGTTACAGGAACACATCCTAACCATATCGTTTCATGAACGTATCCTAGTCTTACCGTTACAGGAACACATCCTAACCATATCGTTTCTTGAATGTATCCTAGTCATATCATTACAGGAACGTATCCTAACCATATCGTTCTATCAATCTATTATAATCATATCGTTTCTGTACATAACCCAACCATACCGCTATATCAATCATATCTTAGTCATATCGTTATATTACGTTTATTGCATCCTTCTCGTATCCTATCTCTCACATATCATTGAACACGTCATAACGTAAGAGTTATCATATCTTTATTCATGTAAATATGGGTCGGTGAAGGACATTTTAGTTTTTCTTAAATCTGACATTTTTTGTCTCTTTTTACAATAACTAATATTTTTCCTCAGTCGAAGAGAGATAATTGGGGAAAAAGATAAGAGGTTAGTGGAGATTAGTGTAAAAGATGTTTTTATGATTATGATTATTATTTTATTTTTTTAGAGTCTTTCATAAATATTCATGAATCCAAAACAAAACCTAAACTCCGAAAATAATCTTTCAATACTGAATTCGAAATAAATCCAAATGAAAGAATACTCAATATAAAACTTAAAATAGTCTAATAAGAGTAAACTCCTAAAATATCCCGTCTCTAACTTCCATGGTGGCCTCAGCTCCGCTGTCAACCGTACATTGGCGCCTTGCCTTTACCTGAAAAATGTAGGTAGCACGTGGCTTGAGTATTTTATGAAATACTCAGTAAGAATGTAGGAATACAAACACATGCAACATATGAGCGGGACCTAACTTTTCATAAACTTTTCATAACCTTGGGTGCTTTTCTATTCCTAGTAGGGTTGGATGTGTGGTACTCCTTCACACATGGCCGATGTACGTATACATGGACCCACCAGGCGGGCTCATATGCGTACCCCCTGGGCCTAGCTTGGTCGAGCATAACGTATCACACGTTACCGGACACCACAGAACAGAAAAGGGCCCGCATAATATCATGACGAACATAAATATCGTAACTCATTCTTTCGTATCATAAAGGGGAAGAATCCTGATGCACGTGACATACATATATGCATGAGGTCCTTTAACATATCTAACATGGCATTACATAAACAGTGCTAACATCGCATTTACGTTTCTTACATCACATGGCATCTCACATGACTTACATTACATGGCATATTACATAAACATTCTAGTTGCATAAACATCTCATGACATGACTCGATAATTCTACATGTATCTATGGCATCAATCAACATATTCACGGCATATAATACTAACTTCTCATTCATGACATAACATAAACAGTCAACAGTCAACACAAGTTCATACATCACATAACATACACAATCACGGTCAACACAATCTATACATCACATAATCATATCACATAAAATATGGTGCATGCAGAGGCCACAGGGCACGCACAATCATACAACACGTAGAAAGCTAACTCCAACAGTAAGGTCACTTACCTCAATGGTCTTGGTTGAAGTCACTCACAACGAGCTAATCCCAGTGGTTAAATATGTCCTATGATAACCACATAAAAATTTAGAACTTTTCATAAGGTACCCTAGCTAGATCTCATGCTATTTATCAAAATAAACCCTCGACCTAATCTGTCTTTAATGTTTTAGGAGCCATACTAACCTCGGATGGTAAAACTAAGGGCAGAAACGGGTTCGGAAGGGCTAAAAACCTGGAATCGATATATTTAAATAAGATTTAAATATCTTAATAAAATATGTTTCCGAATTGATTGGAATTGGCATTTGAATTAATATTAAATATTAATTAAATAGTTTAATTAATCATTTAATATTACTTTAATTTGAAATTAATTATTCAAATTAATTGTTGAATTAAAATGAAGAAAGTCAAAATGTTGACTTCATTTAATCGAAAAATCCATGTTAGTGGAATTTTGAGTACCGATTCACCAAGCCGAGCTGCCGAGCCGACCAATTAAGCTGCCAAGCTGAGCTGCGGGATTTGACGGAGCCGAGCCGCGGGTTTTGACAGAGCCGAGCCGCGGGTTTTGACGGAGCCGAGCCGCCATACACGTCAAGCCGAGCCGAGAGCACCGGAGCCGAGACCAAGGCTGCAGCGCGCGTCCGCATTGGGCCGAAACGCACAGGGCCCGCGTTCGTTCCATGGGCTGGTCCAGAGGCCAAACGTGAACCTGACCCATTTTCCTTCGTCTTCCTTACCCGAAGTCTCGCGAAAACCCTAATCGTCGCTGCGCCGCCAACGACGACGTCACAACCCCGATTCTGACGATGCGACGACACCCCTCGCCTATTCCGACCGACGCGCAACGATATTCAACACCGATAGCCTCGGTCGCTTCTCCCTCCGGCCACTCACCGAAGAAAATCCAGCGAACCACCTCACACGTTTTTCCTGGCTAACCCTCTCGATTTTTCCGTACTCTCAGACACCCTCGAAAACCCTAAACGTTTGGAGAGCAAAAGTTGTTTCCAAGGAAGGAGGAGAGTTGTAATGGGAATATAAAAGGTCTTTATGACTTTTCCATTAAGGTAGTAATTTCCTTGCTAGAAATCGTACCTTTTCCAGCGACAATAAATGAAGCATAATATCTTTTCGTTTTGGCAGAAAAAATAAAATCTTAGTATAAAATCTAAAATAAATAAAACAAAAATTATAATCCTTACATTATCCCCTCCTAAAAAGGACTTTCGTCCTCGAAAGTCTCCCTAGCTAGAAATAACTCTGGATACTTTATCTCATCCACTTGTTCCCATTACGTAACTTCCCCTATTGTTTTTAGAATCCTTTGTGCCTCCTCCCGAGCAATCCTTGGCCATGTGGTCCTCCTTTCCACACCGAAAACAGGCTCTAATGTGACCTAAACATTTATCCCAGTGATTTTTCCCACACTTATTACACTTAGGCTTGCCATCTAATTCGTTTTCATGTTCGTGACGACGTTTTTGTCCCACTGATGATGAAAGGGTTTCATGCGAACTATCAAGTCCTTCCATAGACTTAGCTGCTCTCAAGGCGACAGCGTAAGTGGCAGGTGCAATTGCCTCAACAGTTTTACGAATCTTCGTGTCTAACCCCAGCACAAAACGTCTTGCTGTCCTGTAGTCCGTGTTCACCAACTCTGGGGCAAATCGCTTTAGTTTAGAAAATTCTCTGGCGTAAGTTTTAACACTATGCCCCCTCTGACTCAATTGAGTGAACTCTTGTTGTTTTCGCAGCTGAACATCCTCTGGATAATACTCTTCAGTAAATGCACTCTTGAATTCCACCCATGAGACTGCACCTCCCTCAGGACTAATAATGTCACGGGTGGCCTGCCACCACAATTCCGCATCCTTACGCAACATAAATGTAGCACACTCCACCCTATGGGCCTCAGGGCAGTTGGTCAACCAAAATACAGTCTCAATGGATCTCAACCACATCTGTGCCACAGTTGGATCGTCAGAGGTCCCCTTAAATGTTCGAGGGTCACCCCTCTTGAAATCTCGTAGGTACTTAGCTTCCATGGTTGATGTAGAAGCATTTGCTTGCTGGTTGGCAGTTAGATTTTGTATCACGACTTGTAATGCATCTACTAGGGCAGCTGTAGGGTTTGGTGCAGCCTGAGGTGCCGCTGGTGGCGGAACAGGCTGCTCTACAAAATTCTCTCGTCTCCCATTATGTCCCCTTCCTCTTCCTCTACCCTTAAGTGGGGGTCGTCCCCTAAGACCTCCTCCTCGAGTTCTAGGTGGCATCTAAACAGTGCATGTAACCACTATGTCACACACTTATCTAATACATTCTATTCTAACATTCGTAGTCATGCAAGTCACGCATACATACAACTATAGCATTATCATAACCATCCGATAGTACATGACATATCATAACTCATGCCAACATATGAAACATGTATATCATATCATTCACCACAAAACACACATTCACTACTACATACATCATTAATTAAGAAGCTTTATTTAAAAAAAAAAAGGCGTACCTGACGATGACGGCGCGTTTGCTGGAGGACCATGGAAGTACGTTAGGCCTACATTGTAAGCTAGTCTACAAGATCTATAACCTAGGGCTCTGATACCAACTGTAACGCCCCTAATTTCTTTAACCTAATTAGTGACGTCACCCATGCATACTTATCTCATTAAGCGGAAGCTCATCATAAATAACCTTGAAAGAGTCTTTCATAAATATTCATGAATCCAAAACAAAACCTAAACTCTGAAAATAATCCTTCAATACTGAATTCGAAATAAATCCAAATGAAAGAATACTCAATGTAAAACTTAAAATAGTCTAATAAGAGTAAACTCCTAAAATATCCCGTCTCTAACTTCCATGGTGGCCTCAGCTCCGCCGTCAACCGTACATTGGCGCCTTGTCTTTACCTGAAAAATGTAGGTAGCACGTGACTTGAGTATTTTATGAAATACTCAGTAAGTCACCCCACTATTGGGGTTAGGAATGCAAACACATGCAACATATGAGCGGGACCTAACTTTTCATAGCCTTGGGCGCTTTTCTATTCTTGGTAGGGTTGGATGTGTGGTACTCCTTCACACATGGCCGATGTACGTGTACATGGACCCACCAGGCGGGCTCATATACGTACCCCCTGGGCCTAGCTTGGTCGAGCATAACGTATCACACGTTGCCGGACACCACAGAACAGAAAAGAGCCCGCATGATATCATGGCGAACATAAATATCGTAACTCATTCTTTCGTATCATAAAGGGGAAGAATCCCGATGCACGTGACATACATATATGCATGAGGTCCCTTAACATATCTAACATGGCATTACATAAACAGTGCTAACATCGCATTTACGTTTCTTACATCACATGGCATCTCACATGACTTACATTACATGGCATATTACATAAACATTCTAGTTGCATAAACATCTCATGACATGACTCGATAATTCTACGTGTATCTATGACATCAATCAACATATTCATGGCATATAATACTAACATCTCATTCATGTCATAACATAAACAGTCACAGTCAACACAAGTTCATACATCACATAACATACACAATCACGGTCAACACAATCTATACATCACATAATCATATCACATAAAATATGGTGCATGCAGGAGCCACAGAGCACGCACCATCATACAACACGTAGAAAGCTAACTTCAACAGTAAGGTCACTTACCTCGATGGTCTTGGTTGAAGTCACTCACAACGAGCTAATCCCAGTGGTTAAATATGTCCTATGATAACCACATAAAAATTTAGAACTTTTCATAAGGTACCCTAGCTAAACCTCATGCTATTTATCAAAATAAACCCTCAACCTAATCTGTCTTTAACGTTTTAGGAGCCATACTGACCTCGGATGGTAAAACTAAGGGCAGAAACGGGTTCGGAAGGGCCAAAAACCTTCGAATCGATATATTATAGTGATACCGATTCACCAAGCCGAGCTGCCGAGCCGACCAATTAAGCCGCCAAGCTGAGCTGCGGGATTTGACGGAGCCGAGCCGCGGGTTTTGACGGAGCCGAGCCGCCATACACGTCAAGCCGAGCCGAGACCAAGGCTGCTGCGCGCATCCGCGTTGGGCCGAAACGCACAGGGCCCGCGTTCGTTCCGTGGGCTGGTCCAGAGGCCAAACGTGAACCCGACCCGTTTTCCTTCGTCTTCCTTACCCGAAGTCTCGCGAAAACCCTAATCGTCATTGCGCCGCCAACGACGACGTCACAACCCCGATTCCGACGATGCGACGACACCCCTCGCCTATTCCGACCGACGCGCAACGATATTCAACACCGATAGCCTCAGTCGCTTCTCCCTCCGCCACTCACCGAAGAAAATCTAGCGAACTACCTCACACGTTTTTTCTGGCTAACCCTCCCGATTTTTTTGTATTCTCAGACAACCTCGAAAACCCTAGGAGAGAAAAAGTTGTTTCCAAGGAAGGAGGAGAGTTGTATATGGGAATATAAAAGGTCTTTATGACTTTTACATTCAGGCAGTAATTTCCTTGCTAGAAATCGTACCTTTTCAGCGACAATAAATGAAGCATAATATCTTTTCGTTTTGGCAGAAAAAATAAAATCTTAGCATAAAATCTAAAATAAATAAAACAAAAATTCGAATCCTTACCATATATATATATATATAAAATATTCAAAAGGTAGAAAAAACACGAAATCCCAATGAAATCGGGAAAGGATTCATGAAAAATCCAGAGGGAGATGATGTTAAGGATATTTGGCTGTTTATTTAAGGCAAATATTTTCTATTCATTTATTATTCTTTTCTTTTATGGTTCTTTCATATTATTTATAATTTACCATAATAGAAAATAACTCTGTGTTTTGTAAATGATTATAAATAGACAACTTTCACTACCGTTTAGATGCTGTGATTTTAGCAAATATTCTCATGGTATTAGAGCCCTTTCGATTTAACAAGATCCTTTCTTCTCTATGGCTTCCGAATCCTCTTATCATCTGCCGTTCAACACTCTAATTCATACGATCATCATCAAACTTTCTTTCTCTAATTATCTTCTTTGGAAAAGTCAATTTCTTCCTCTCCTAGAGAGTCAAGACATGCTGGGCTATGTTGATGGAACTATGGTTCTACCACCTTGTTTTGAACCAAAAACCTCCTCAACACTTAACCCCAAATATTTGGCCTGGAAAGCAACCGATCAACAGCTTCTCTGTCTCTTGCTATCCTCTCTTACCGAGGAAGCCATTGTTGTCGTCGTTGGCCTCTCCACTGCATGTAACGTTTCGCTTGCGTTGGAAACTACGAAAGCTCATGAACTGAGACTCCAGGGTGACTTGCAGTTGATGAAACATGGTACCAAACCTGTTACTGAGTATGCTCGTGCCTACAAAACAATTTGTGACCAACTTCATGCCACCGGCAGACTAGTCGAGGACAGTGATAAAGTGCACTGGTTCCTTCGTGGACTCAGCACCAATTTTTAAGTTTTTTCAACTACTCAGATGGCTCTTACCCCTTTCCCCTGTTTTGAAGATTTAGTCTCTAAAGTTGAAAGTTTTGAGTTGTTCCAGCGCTCCCTTGAGTCTTCTGACTCCACTCCTCGACATTCACAGCCACTAATTGTGGTCACACTCATGGAAGCCACTTTGTTTTCTCTAGCAACCAGTGAGGTCGTTCTCATTCCCCAAAAATAACTCTTTTAACTGAGGAAGGACTCACTCATGTCAGGGTCATCGACCACCTCGCTGCCAAATGTGCCACACAGAGGGCCATTATGTTGATTGCTACAAACAATGGTATGTTCGGCCCGATTCTACTCATGCTCACCTTGCTGAAGCCTTCAACACGTCCTATTTTATTGCTAGACCCGATGCTACTGGTTGGTTTTTGGACACTGGGGCTTTGGCCCATATGACCGCCGACCCATCTATTTTGGATCAGTCTAAAAATTAAATGGGTAAGGACTCTGTGATCATAGGAAACAGTGCATCCCTACCCATTACCCACACTGGTACTCTTTTTCCTATTCTAAATATTCACTTAGATATCTTGGTTGTCCCTCGTCTCACTACAAATCTTCTTTAAATTAGGAAATTATTTTTTTCTCTCCGTTACATTTACTAATAATCTTCTTACTATCTAGAATCGTCAAACAGGAAGGGTGGTGGCAACCGGTAAAAGAGATGGACGGCTATATGTTCTGGAGCGCGGCAACTCTACTTTTATTTCAGTCCTTAGAAACAAATCTTTACGTGCTTCATTTGATTTATGGCATGCTCGCCTGGGTCATGTGAATCATTCTATTATTTCTTTTTTAAATAAAAGATGTCATCTTTCTCTTACGTCTTTATTGTCTTCTCCATCACTATGTAGTACTTGTCAACTTGCGAAAAGTCATCGATTTTCTTGTGAAAAGTCATCAATTTCCTTACTCTCGCAATGAATGTAAGTCGTCTCATGTGTTAGATCTTATTCATTGTGATCTTTGGGATCCTTCCCTCGTCAAATCCAATTCAGGTTTTCTTTACTATGTTATTTTTATTGATGATTATTCTCGATTCACTTGGCTTTACCTTTAAAATTAAAATTTGATTGCTTTGATATTTTTCTTCAATTCCAAAAATTTGTGGAAAATCAATATTCTGTGCGTATCAAGGTATTTCAAAGCGATGAAGGTGCCGAATTTACAAGCACTTGTTTTAAAACTCATTTACGTACTTCTGGCATCCATCATCAACTCTCTTGTCCATATACACCAGCTCAAAATGGTCATGCTGAGAGAAAACATCGTTATGTGACTGAGACTGGCTTGACCCTTCTCTTTCACTCCCATCTTTCTCCTTGTTTCTGGCTTGATGTCTTCAGCACTGTAGCTTATATTATCAACCAGTTGCCTACTCCACTTCTCGCAGATAAGTCACCCTTTGAACTCCTCTACGGCTACTCTCTGCATTATGACAATTTTCATCCCTTTGGTTGCCGTGTTTATCCTTGCTTGCATAATTATATGCCTAACAAGCTTTCTCCCCGTAGCATTCCTTGCATTCTTTTGGGTTATAGTCCTGCTCATAAAGGGTTTAATTGCCTTGATCCTGCCACCACTAAGTTATGCATCACCTGTCAAGCTCAATTTGATAAAACTCATTTTCCTGCCGTCCCTAGCTCTCAGGCCCAACCTCTTTCCTCTCTTCATATTTCAAATTTCTTAGAACCACATCTTTACCATATTGATTCATCCCCCCTACCACTTCATTACCGCACATTCCTCGAACCAGTTCATCCCCGTGTGATATTTGTTCTGACCTTGTGGATGAGTCTGTGCAGGTTGATACTTCTCTTGCAGGTACCTCTTTGTCACCCTCGACTTCTGATCCGATCTCTATTGAACCTACTGTTGATTCCTCTTCTTCTTTGGACTTTCATCCAATGATCACAGAGCCAAAGTTGGTATCTTCAAGACTTGTCATCTAGCAAATCTTGGTAGCAAATCTTGGAGCCAAAGTTGAAGCAATTGGTAGTATACCATTACAGAAGAGCCAATCTTATCAACAATCAAGTTGAATAGCTCAAGTGGTTAGAGCATCGAGTTGTGATGACGGTCGTCCACCAAGCGCATTGCACAATTGGCCTGGGAGGGAATCAAATTCCGTCGGGTCGATGTACAGCGAGTGCGGGAATTCAACATCGAGCAGCTGCAGAAGGAGCTCTCAGGGATCCGTTTTAAGGATGGCGAATCCGTCGATGATTTTTCCATGCGGATCACGGGGCTAGAGGTGACCACGAAAGACTACGTAACGTCGAGCAGTAGAAGAAGAATACCGCTTCAGCTGTTGACAAGGAGGTTTCAATCGAGACATTGCTTGACGTGAACGACCTAGCAGTGGAAGAGGTGACCAGAAGACTACGTAACGTCGAGCAGCGGAGGAATGGCTTGCACGCCTAAAGCTCCGTGACAACACCGACAAAAGCAACGGGCCCTCCTCCAGCCGCAAAGGTGGTAAGAAGCCATGGATGTCCCACGGGCGCACGCGCGGGAAAGATGGGAATCAAAAGAAGGAGTGACCAATGACAGGCCGATCCAGTGCTCGAACTGTGGGAAGAGCAGACACCGGAGCAGGAATTGCTGGAGCAAGCTCAGGAATCCGATGAGGACGAGCCAGCTCTCTTCATGGTAAGTGCATGCTTCCCCAATTTCGATTCCAAATCCACGGAGATGGAGGTAATCGACAACGATGTTGAGCCCGAGAAAGAGCTCCAGCTGGGTGTAGCAAAGGTGGCATCAGCTGGGGAGCCAATTCAACTGGAGGAGGAGCGCTCAGATCGGTGAGAGGGATTGAGCAATACGAGCACCAGCGATGGATCCTCGACACAGGGGCAACAAACCATATGACTAGGGCTAGATCTGCATAATCCGAGCTCGACTCGGGGATCCGCGGGACGGTGAAATTTGGCGAAGGCTCCGTCGTCGAGATCAAAGGGTGCGGCACCATCCTGTTCGTTAGCAAGGGAGGAGAGCATCGCAAGCTGACCGACGTCTACTTCATCCCGAGACTCAAGGCTAACCTTGTGAGCCTGGGTCAACTCGATGAGACAGGCTGCTTCATTTCCATCGAGCGCGGACTACTCAAAATCTGCTATAATCAACAACGGCTGCTCACGCAGGCAAGGCACACGACAAATCGTCTTTACATCTTGGAGTTAGAGATAGAGCAACCCGTCTGCCTCTCGGCCAAGATCGAAGAGGTATCTTGGAGGTGGCACGCAAGGTATGGGCACTTAAACTTTTCTGCTCTAGAAAAGCTACAGAAGGAGGAGTTGGTGCACGGTTTGCCAGCAATCAAAGGCGTGAACAAGCTGTGCGATGGGTGCCTCATCGGCAAACAGAGGCGCACACCCTTTCCGTCTTGAACATTCTACCGAGCCGATGAGACGTTGGAGCTTGTACACGGTGATATCTGCGAGCCCATCAAGCCGGTGACCCTAGGCGGTAAGAGTCTCTTCCTCCTGTTAGTCGTGACAAAAGCCGCTTCATGTGGCTGACCCTGCTGCAAGCGAAAAGTGAGGCGGTAGAGGCGGTTAAGCGCATTAAAGCGCGAGCGGAGGCCAAATGTGAGAAGAAGATGCGAGTGCTGCGCACAGACCGAGGCAGAGAATTCACCTCGACAAGTTTCGGTAAGTACTGCGACGAGATCGGCATACAACGGCACCTAACGGCGCCCTACTCCCCCCAACAGAACGGAGTGGTGGAGCGCCAAAATCAGACCATCGTCGGGATAGCGAGGTCATTGTTGGTGACGGCTGGGATGCTTGAGAGATTCTGGG